TGTGCACCAAACCCCATGGTTTTGAAAATTCAAAACATCAAAAATATGTATTTAAACTAAAGAAATCACTATATAGTCTGAGACAAGCTCCCAGAGCTTGATATGTGTTATACCCCAAAATTTTCCCTCTCATTTATCAATAATTTGCTCATAAGATCTCCTTTGGCTCAAGACTGCACTATTGTTGATCAGCTTAAGACACCTCCTTAAGCACTGGTGAGCAAAATTAGGGTTTGAGAGATGAGGTCGAGGCATTGATTAATCTCACTCTCTTTTCTACTCAAACTCTGGTAAGATGACACATGTTCGTCTTTATTTATCCCTTTATACAAATTCTAAATCATCATCCTCACCATTATTCAAATCCGTGTAAGTGATACATCATCATCGTTTCCTATTCTCTTCAAAACTCTTGGGGGTATGCTATATCACTGTAACCCTATCTAGCCAACTCTTGAGGGTATGCTATATCAGCATAACCTCATCTAGCGAACTCTTAGGGGTATGTTATATCAGCGTAACCCTATCTAGCCAACACTTTGGGGTATGCTATATCAGTGTAACCCTATCTAGCCAAGCTTTGGTCAAATTTTGGGGTCTTCCATTATTTAATAAATCTCCGATTCGAATTTATGAGAATTATGCATTCTCACGCCATTCAAATTGAAGAGTTATTAAATAGGGGCAATTGTCATACCTTAAATTTTCCCGCCCTCAGTGCTACCATCAAGTTTATTTTCAAACTTTGATTTTTATAAAATTCTTTTGATTTGTATTAATATTTTGGGGTTTTGTAAATATTCCTTTTTGAGTTAATTTAAAAAAATATAATAATTTTCAAATTATTTTCATTTTTAAATAGAAAATAATTGATCATCTTCATATGTTTTTCAATTGGCGTTTTATTTTAAATGAATACGTAGCGTAGTTGGTAAGAGAGTAAGCCTTACAAGTGGAAGGTCCTGAGTTCAAGTCCCGTTACATTACTTTTTGGTATTTATATTCTTTTTGTGTGTTTTTTTAATAAAAAAGATTAAAAAAAGTCATTTTTCAATTATTTTATTATTATTTTCGTTTTCTATCTTAAGGGTATTTTAAAATTATTTTTTTATTTTTTAAAATCTTTGATTTTATACACTTAATAGTCAAGATGTTAAAAATAATTGAAATCTTTCAAAACCAATTTTTATTAATCACAAAATCAATCACAATATTGAGAAAAAATCATAAAAGTTTCTAAGTTCATGATCTTGTGCACCAAATTTCAATCAAATCTCAATTGGTATAAATCTTCTCAAAAATTACTTTTTGTATCATTACATTATAATTTTCGTATTTTTTAATTAATAATTTTTCAAAAATAGTTTTTTTCACTTTTTTCTATTTTTAATTAAAAATAATCAAAAATTATATAAAATATAAAAACAACAAAATCACATAATTTGTCACTTTCTGATTGATCACATGTTGACAAAACTGATTCTCATGGGTCAAAATTTGTAGACTTGTTGACCAAGATAAAAATCATAAACTTTGGACTTTTCTTGGTGTGGGCTATTTCCTTTTTGGGGTGTCTTTAACATAATTTCAAATCTATAAAGAGACCACTCTTTCACACTATTTTTCATTCATAATTCACTAAAAGAGTTCTCATAAAAGTTGTTCTTCACATCGTAGAACAACAACAAAGAAACACTGAAGTCTTCATTAACAAAATTTTGGTGATCAACAATTTCACCAACAATTAGAAAATCAATAACTCACTAGAGTTCTCCTAAAATTGTTGTTCTTCACATCGAAGAACAATAACGAAGTATCTCCTAAAAGCCCTCAATCAATTCAAGAAACTCTTGTACCAAAAAAAGAGGAATGATTGACCGAGAAGAAGGAAAGGAAGCAACTTAAATCGGTCACGACATTTCAGGTTGGTGACTTTGTCTTCTTTGATGTAAATTCAATTTTTTTGAATATTTGAGTTTTATTTCTTTGCTTTTGGAATTTCGTCCATAATGCTTTTATGTGATTAATAGTGTTTTCATGTATGGTTTGAATATTTTATTGTTGGTAATTTATATTTCTCATGGTTAATCTAGTGAGTCTAAGTATTGTAATTTATATGAATTGGTTTTTCTCAATATTTAATTGTTACTATAATCACTAGGAAACTAAAAAATTTATATGATAAATTAGCTTTATTATCTTTAGTATTACTAAATTACGGCGGATAAAATTACTAAATAAGAACAATACAAAACTAGAAAGAGGCAAGTCTTCTTAAAATGAAAAACAGAAACATTAATAATCCCCTTTGTGTTTATTTTAATTTTTGTAGTGTTTATTATTTTTATTATTTTATCCTAAATTGTTTTATAATTTATTTTTTATTAGTATTTGTACAATATGTTTTTTATCACGCGTATATTATTGGGTATTTTCTAAATATAATTATGTTATAAACCTTTTATAAAAATAACAAACTTAATTTTTCCTTTATTAAAAATAACTAAGTAATTTTTATTATTAATCAAATTATTATTTTTAAATCTATTGCAAGTTTTATTTTCTAAATCATAATGTGGTCTAATTTTATTTATTACAAATATTTTATCATTATTATTGAATCATAGAACCTAATCTTTCCTTATAAATTGTAGCAACAAAATTATTTTTATTTAACAAATATTTATTTTTCTATAATCAACATTTATTTTTATAAACATTAAATTTAAAATCGGTCATTTTACTAATTACTTAACAAATTGGTATAAATAGGTTTTTACTAATTAAAACTTTTTTTTTATTAACTTTAAAATATGTTTACTAACTCTAATGCTAGTTTTTCACTTACATACTTATTCAATTGTTCACTTCTACTTCAATTTTCAATCCATAAATCAAACATTATATTTAAATCAAAATCTTAAATTACAATCAAATATCAAAATCCGCGCAATTCATCGAATATTCCACCAGCAAGCAACACGTGGATAATATATGGCCACGTGATGAGGAAGGCTATATCAGTCTTCCTCCGCATTCTTCACATTGAGAAACATGTGGGAAATATATGACCACATGAGGAGGAGACTATATCAGACTCCCCCCGTTCAATGTCTCATCATACTCTTTAATCAAATCAAAACATCAAAGCAGCTAACCAACAATAAACAATTTTTCCACTGACATAAAAAAATACAAGATATTTTCCTGAAAAGGATTAAGGAGAATTTCTTTCAAAATTAACTGCGAACTGCGTCTACAATCACTCAACTTACAACCCGAACAAGGTTCAATATTAATTCAAAAATAATTTTACGCAATCCTATAAAAAACATAACCAACCGCAAACTACAAAATGAGACTCTAATTCCTCCTAAGAGGATACGTAGGCATACGACTAAAATCATGGCGAGTTCCCCTATTAAAATAAAACCCCTTTCCCCCTAATTAAAAAAACAAACCCTTTTCCCCTATTAAAAAATTAAAACCCTTTTTACTTGAAACCTAAACCTAAACCTAGTATCCTTAAGAATAAGGTAGATGACAGGTGCCTAACACCTTCCTTTCATCTGAAGAAGTTTGAAACCTATAATCTCTGTTTTGAGAATTAGGATTTTCTATTAGATCACCTTACTTAGGATAAAAACTAGTACTGGCGACTCTTGATTTTAAATCCAGTTGCTACAGATACAAAGATCTATTAAGTAAAGAAAGATAGTTGTAAATCCAACTATTTGTTCCCAACGGTCATAATGAGAGTGGTTGACAATACTGTATAAAGGACTGTCTTTACGCCACACTAGAGGGTAGAGGTCACAAATACTTTATGTACCTTTTGTACAACATGACACGTTAACCATTTGAACTTTCTTCTTATCTTCAAAGGCTTCAGATATTTGAATGTTGAATGTTGAAGCTTGTTTTAGAAGAATCTTTCTTAATTCGTAGAACCTAAGTCTTGGAGTCTTCAGAACTTGTCACACAAAACCTTGTCTTTAGAGTCTTCAACACTTAGTTGTAAGAAATTGCTTTTCTTCAGATCATCAGAACTTGTTCAGTAGAACCTCATATTTATAATCTTCAAAACTTGTAACACATAAGTAAAGCTTTAAAAGGCCTTTAAATCTTAACCACAAAGTCACGATCAAAATCTCTTATATTAACGTTCCTAAGACACATTGCATAAGATAGATTCAGAACCTTGACTTCAACTATAACACGTAACCACATGTTTTCTTCCAGAGTGTATGTTCAGAAACTGATGACATCACACGCCTTGTACCAAAGTCAGAACATTATAGCAGTAGCTACACACTATACGAAAACATTAGTGTATACATTGTTCTCTAAGATAACATGTAAAGTAATCATCAAAATCCTCAAAAGCATACAAACTAGAGATTTTTGCGTTTTTCAATTATCTACATACTCCCTCAAATCTTTGCATATGCAAGATACTTGGTAAAGTGTGTATCAATATGAAAGAAAATCATTTTGTGAGTGATAAGGAATCGATGAGTGAAAACAAATGGATTACTTCAAGACAAACATACTCACTACATTAAGATTTTCATTAAAAAATAAACAAGTTTCTACATGCAAGAAATGTTTAAACAAACAAGAAAGATTTCAAATGAAAATACAGTAAAGAAACCAATAATTTCCATAGTATAGGAGACTTGACTCCGTATGGACTTATTGATTCTGGAGACTTTCTGAAGTTTTGATGCTCACTTTGGCAAGAGACTCCCCATCTGATCTATGATGAACACAACAGTCTCGGAATTGGTTCAATATTGGTACTTGTCTCTGGATGACATATTGTCTTTACCCGAATGGCCAAGTTCCCCAGAATGATATTCACAGAGGATTCTCTCAAAATATGGGATGAATGCTTTACCAAGCGAACTTGCATATTGAATCACCATGTGTCTTCTACTTCACAAAAGAGATAAAGAGTCTAAAATGGTTTTCCAAATAGGAATTGAACTTTGGAAAAGATGCCCGACAGGTTCTGGATTTTATACTTCAAACCCCTTGCATTCCTCGATATCATGACCAGGTGCCCCATAATGGAAGACTCATTTGAGGCTCGGGCTTCTTTTGTCTCTGTTATTAGGCCTTACCCCATGGATTCACTTGGGGAACAAACTCTAGTTGCATACGAGGAGACCCGAGAACAACAACTTGTGGAAGAGATCCATAAAATACCTCTTGATTTAAAAGAGATCCCATTGGATGGGGTTGAATGACAGCTTATGTTGCAGCAGTAAGTATAGGTTTACCTTCTCTTCTCAATACTATTTTCAGAATTTCCATGACCAGACAAAATTGAGTCTCCAACTGGTCGTTTTCTTCTTTCAATAGTTCCTAATCACAAGCCATGACTGACACATCTCTCACAATCAGCCCCATCTAAACCTTTATCTTGGCCAATTCCCCACGAAGTTGTTCCATAACTAATTTCTGAGCACGAAGCAGTAAGAAGTCAAGTATGCAATTCTCAAGAGAATACCATGTCTGAATAAGAATCCCCAATTCTGAATACCTATTATGCATGAGATGTATAAAGTGAATGGTATGCATGCAATGCCATGTTTGATTATTTCCAAAGAACCTATAAGCTTTGATTTTTAAGCGAGTAAGAGATGGAAAATCTTGGCACAAGGATATAAGATATGACTCCTTGGTAATGGAAATAATATGTATGCTAACACGAGGTTAAAAATGCTTATAAACGCAAATATATTGGATCGAGGTTCCATAAACTGGATAACCACTACACTATTTCTTAACTAACTTAATATCATAGGATCAAAATTATGGCATAGCTTCAGAATACACAAGAACCAAGTACCATGTAGATCAACAACTGTACGGGATCAAGGCTTCTAGAATACTGGATAACTGTTGAATTGTTTCTTTAAAGACTATACAGAATAGGATCAAAGGTCTGACATAGCTTTAGAATACCACATAAGTCAACCACATAACGTAAGTCACCAACGGTACCTGTAAGATCAACCCCTCCTCAACCACAAGTGTAGTATAGGTCAGGGTAAGGTCAAAGAGTAAATAAGAGTCGTTAGTTTGTATGCTAAGTACTATAATCTTAACATCTACATGTAAATGATAGTACCGCACTTGAACCTCAGTTGAGCGTGTCTCACATGAATGTGCTATTTTAGACCTCACGTCTCATAGCCATAATGAGTCCACTCTAGTCCTAGTGTTCCTATATGACATCTCATAGCCTGGGTACTGAGCTTTTTACCCCATAGTATCATCCCATCCCAACAAATAAACAGCACAACAACATATCCATAATATAGGAACAATGAATATAAAATGAAAAGCACAAAGAAGTAAAAGCAATAAATAAATAAACAAATAAACACCCAAAGAAAAGGAAACAAAATGAAGCTAGGAATAACTTGCATGGTTCCCCAGTAGAGATGCTAGTTGTCGCATCTAGGATTTTCATCTAAGCGCGAAGGAGGTGTAAAGAAGAGTCGCCATCAATTTTATTTATCCCAAGAGAGGGAAAGGAAACAATGAGTAAACACAAATAAGGGAAAGAACATGGTATCATGAACAAGAGAAAGGGTAAGAAAGTCGATTATGCAAGGGGAAGGTATTAGCACCCCGCACATCTGTGGTACTCCACAGGATCCACTCAAGTTTGTTCTAATCGAAGGGTGTATAAAAAATAAAGCTTAATTCTAAGGAAGTGCATGCAAAGTATCTGCAAAAAGAAATTTTTTATTAGTTGTGCATGTCGCTGTTGCAAATCTTTGTGCCTACATACCAACTTTCATGCAATAGGTGATTAGGGCACTCGTAGTTCACCTAAAAAGGTGTTTTGGTTTGTTGTGTGTTTTTTATGAACAATACTAATGAATCATGTCCTTTTTGAAAAGATTTTAAAAGAAAAGCTAAATAGAAAAAGAAGTTTGAATTGGTTGGTGTGTTTGTAGGTATGATGATAAATGGATCCCATTGCTATGACACTTATCATCCCTCTACTTTGTGAAAACAGAGTTTGGGATTTGAAGCACACCAAAAACTTGTGAATTAAAGAAGGACCAGTCAGGGTATGTATCCTCTCATCCTTCCCATTATTAAAGACTCTTGAAGGTGTGCCTCTCATCAACTATTTAATAAGTGTTTTGAGAAGTTTTAGAAGAAAACAAGTTTTAGTTTTAAAATGAATGCAAAAGAGAAACACTAAACAAAAAGGGGTCTCAATCCTACATGTTGTCATGCTTGTGGACCTAAAGTTGGGATAAGAGGGAGATCTACCTAATGTTGTCATACATGGATTCAAAATATAAGGTCTATTTAGTTCAATCTTAGAGAAGAATGAACTAAAGGTCCTACGGGGATCATGCAAATCTCATTAAAGATCAGAAGGAAGAGAAGAAGAATTTCAAGCAATCAATACTTAGATATGTAAATAAGGCAAGAAATCATCAAAAGGGGCGCTTAGACAAGTTACCAAACAAATACCTACTTAGATAAGAAAGTAAAGATAGGAGAAGAGATGATAAAACATAACACAAGGATGACAATAAATCAAGAACCAATGATTGTAATACATCAAGTAGAATATGACAAAACATCAAGTAAACCAGTACATAGGTGGATACCTGAGTAAGAGATGATGAGACACCACACAAAGATGATAATGCATCAAGTGTTAAATAAAAGTAATAAATGGTAAAAAATCAAGAATACATGCATTAAAATGACAAAACATCAAGTCCAAAAGAAAATATAAGGATGATAAACCATCATTAAACACACAATTAAATATGGTAAAACACAAAAGAGATGGATCTCACAAACAAACTTGAAGAAGTGAAGAAGGAAAGTAAGAGAGCAGTGATAAGCAATCAAAGAGGTATGGCATAAAATCACTTCAAGGTATAACATACGTTTTGGTCCTATCATTATAAACACCTTAGACTACACTAAACATATCTACATGGGTCAAGAAGTAGAGGAAATTACCTAAATAGACAAGTAGAAGTGCAAGTTTGCATTTAGAAGACAAAACTTAAACACATGTCAAAAGCATCAATAAAAATGAGATACAATAGTTGGACACCTAAGTCTAAACATGCTTCAAGACATCATAAATTATCACCAAGATATGACATGTTAACAAACATCATGCTAAACAAACGAGTAGGCATAGTATAAAGAGATGAAGTGTAGATAAGTGACAAGATAAGACTTGTATCTCATGTGAAGAATTAGGAGACACATGCATAACATATCATGTTATAAGGAAGTGAGGTGAAGGGAAAGGGATGAGTGAGTGTTTAAGTCAGAATTTAACACATAAAAAACTCATCATTATCTCATAAACATACTTGAGAAATATTCACAACATAATATTACAAAGAAATGATCACTATCACCAGAAGTGGACATAAGTCCTCATGTGATGCTAGCAAGAAAACAAATTAGACAAGAGGTAATTTGAAAAAGAAGAAGAAGAAGAGGAAAACTAAGACATTTTATACTCTTATCACAAACCTCATGGTCAAGAAGAAGTTCAATTATTCATTGAAAACATAGTTCAAACACAAAGGTACACAAACTAGCATCAATCAAAATTATGATGTGAAGTGGAAACAAGTGTGTGATTAATTGAACATGGCATAATGTATCAAGTAAGAGTAAAGTAAGATGCAAACACTTAAGGTTAACACAAACCATTGACCTATAAACATCCCCAGGGCATCACTACTGAAGCACATACAAAGGTTAGTGCAAGATTTTGTCAATACCACATCCTAACATACTCCTAAAAGAAAGTGAAGCACAAGAAAGGGATAGATGAAGATGGAACATGATTATAGGGTGTCAAAGAAAATTGTCATTAGAAAATGACCTCTAATATCATATATTTAAACATCACAAGCAAAGAGAAAAAGTTGCATACATGGCATACAAGGGAAGTGACCATAGGGGACAAGAAAACATGTTCAACTTAAACAAGTAAAGATCAAATGTTGAAAGCATACTTGAAGAATTATGGAATGTATGACTTGTGTAATAAGTTAACTAAAGATTATATTCAATATTAATCAATGAAGAAGATGAAACTTCATGTATAAACAAAGTCACATAACTTGATAATCAACATCATCTAAAGTGGATGGTACTTGTCTTAAATTAAACAATATTGATGAAGACCAAGTAAAGGCAAAATGAAACATTATATGTAATAGGGTAATGGCTAATCCCTTACAAGGTATCAATCATGAACTTGAAGCCTCAAGAAATGTTATCAATATAATATGCTCAAGTGTCATGACAAACTAGCAAAGTAAAGTCTCTAGATGCACACAAGCACTATGTCCTATATAGATCAAAGTTAATGTTCTTAAATGCCATCGGAATTAGCAAACATCAAGATAAATTAATGAGACATAACACAAAATCTCATGATAAAATCACTAACTAATGATGCTCGAACACAAGTAAGAAAGCAAATGTAGCTTTTAATGTGTCACCATGTTGGTTAGCAAATGAGTGCTTAACCAAAAGATCATAGAAGCATGGAGAATTAAGATGAGAATATAGGTTAAGATAAAAAATTAAGCAAAAAGATATTGGACCCATGGTTCTTTAGTGGATTCTAAAGCCATCACACAGAAACTAGGTCAAAACAAGAATGTGGCTCCTATCTCATCATCATGATGAATTGAAAATGAGATGTCAATTAAATAATAAAAGGAGTTATCCATAAACGCATTTAAGACATTAGAAGTCAGAAGTAAACTCAAAAGCTTTCAACTAATTTGGATCTGTGGTATTCAAGTAGAAGTTCACAAAAGCATCCTCTTAAACCATGATCACAAAAGATGAACAGATAACTTTAAACAAAGGGGCAATGATAGAGTAATTTAATGGTTCATAAATATTAACTAAAGCCCCTAACATTTGATGATAATTATATAAATAATATGGAACTTGTTTCCTTATATGTTTCACAAGTGCATACCTTACATCTCAAGCAACAAAGTAATTTAACAAAAGAATGATCAAAGTAGATGAATCAAAATGAAGTCAAAATCTGTTCTCAAGTTCTTGAAGAACTATACTTGAAAATGTCACCCTTCATACAAGGTCATTGGAATCAAAGAGTCCTCAAGATCAAATTAAAATTAACACAATTAGGCACATTAGGGTTTTTAAGAATGGCCAAGTAAAGGCACCAAGTAAATGATCATCAACAACTACAAACAAATTTAATAAAATTAACCCAAGTTTATGTGATCTTAGATAATCCATGTGATCATTATGTGTCCAATGATTGGCTTCTAAATAAAGTCACAAGTTACCCAATGAAGTTAAACACTATTCACTAAGACCAAATGGACACATTCACTTCTAAAATGGATCAAAAATAGAAAGAAAATTTATAAATTCAAACCAAATTAATTCTAGTATCATTAAGGCCTCTAAAAGTCATAAATAATGCTTAGGGTTCTTGGAAAGCTAAGGAAGTATGCAAATTATCATCAACTTTTAAGACTAGTTGATGAAATAACCAAACTAGATACCTCAAGAAAAATATTTTATGAAAAATAGAAAATTAGGGGATGAAAAATATTTAAAATGACTTTACTGATTCTAAGACTTATAAGAACCCTAAAACAATTTATTTTCATTTTTAAAAGTGCAGGAATTTAGATAATTAAATCAAGCTTCAAGCAAAAGTATGTGAAACTAACAAAATAGCACTTATACTTCTCAAATTTTAAAATCAACGGAGATTAAATGATAAAAATGGTTTAAAAACCCCAACATCAACTTAAAAACATAAGGAACTCATAAATTATTTTTGTCAATTTTTTAGGTTAATGGAAAATAAAATCAAAACATGTAACTAATTAAGAAAACATACACTTAATTATATGAATTAATTAATTACGGACGAAAATTATAAAATTAAAATAATAATTATTTTCAGAAAATAGACTTAAAAAGAGACTTCGCATATTTTTTCATAATTTTTGTGTCATTAAAAATACTGAAACAAAAATGGAAAAATTAATTGAAATAAAAAGAAAATTAACATTAAGATAAACATATAATAGTTGTTGTTTTCAAAAAGCGTTGCAAATAGCCTGATCCCTATCTACCCAGAAACGGAAACCTCACTGTCCTTATTAATGGGATAAAAACCTAACACGATAAACAAGCAGATTTTCTTCACATGTTCAGAGCCTCATATCTCTCTGAGTACTCCATGGAATCGAGTGAAATTAAAACCAAAATTGAAGATCAAACTTCAAAGAATAACATAGCATCAACTAAAACATTAAATGGCCACTTAATCAAGGAGATATTGGTTTTCAAAATTACAGATTCAAATAAATTTAAGAACATTCAAACATGAACACAAACTCAGATTCCACAAAACAATATACCTCACACCTATTGTGTGGCCAACTAATGCACATGAACATGGTTATATCACTATGAATTTCTTATAAGCATGAAATAAAAGCATTAGGAGGAGAGTTATGGAGTTTAGATTCAGTTACCTAGTGGAATGAGTCAACTGCCCCTTGTTTTTGAGAAAAAGAGAGTGATAAACCTAGAGAGAGTTGGTTTGAATCTTCAGGGATATTCAAATGGAGAGAATAGTGAAGAGAGCTTGAAGAAAAATTTCAACCTGATGGAAGCTTGCTTGAAGAAGATGAGAATTCCTCAGATCTATTTTCTCTCTCTTAATGAGTTTACTTTTGTGTGAGAATGATGAGCTTTTAAATAGAATATGGAGTAAGCTTGAGTGAGGTTAAAATTTAACCACGGTTCCAAAGATCTTGTTAAGTAAGTTTGATAAAAAATGAACAAGAGTGTGTGGCTGTGTTTTGTAGGTTATGCTGAGGCTTTGTTGTTGTTGTTTTGGAGAAAAGAAAGAGAATGAGTGAGGGCATGGAATAAGCATGATGGTTAGATGGAAGAATGATCACATGGGGAAGAAATTTATGGAGGGAAAAGTTTACCTGTTTTGGTAAAGGGTGGGATACGTGCACATGCATCTCATGCACCTTGTTTAGCTTATTTTGGAAAGGAAAGATAGTGATAAGAGCATGTGATGGAATGAGGTGATAATAACACAGGCCAAGATGCACATGACTTGAAATAACACCAATGTTGTATAATACAAGTTGTGGTCTTCTTATTCTTTTCTAATGGCAATAAATTGAAATTTCCTGCACCAAATGGCATGGGCTTGAGCTCAATGGAAAGAGGGAAGCATGGGGAATAAGATTGGTGTTGACAGAAAGTTGATTTAAGGTATTGAGGTCATTGTAAATTGGCTGCAAACACTTCTGCATGGTCAGTGCGCACAAAATTCACTAAGTGCCAGCAAAATCGTATCCTCCAAATGCCTGACTTTAAATCCATGTATCCTGAGATTCAATGGATCATTTGAGAAAATTCTTGAAGCAAAATTGGAGAGGGAAAGTTGATATTCATCTTTGATGTTAATGAGATCGACAAATAATGCTTATATTTTCCCTCGAGAACACACATTTGGCATTGATCTTGGACACACCAAATTTTCACTAAGTGTTTGAAAAAATTATAACTCTGAACGCCTCACTTCTAGTCATGATAACTTTATATTTTAAGAACAAAGATGGTTTATTCTTGAAGCATTAGCAAGATGGTAATCTAAATAACAACTCTTGTGTTGAGATTGATCTGAAATAAAGTCTGAACCAAAGAGAAAATCAACTTGCCAATCATGATGATGAACCTGACTAAACAAATCTAAAAATTCCCTTAGTGTCAAAAACCAAATTTGAATGAGCTTCCCCCTTCATGCTCAAATAACTTACAATCCATGGACCTTTTTGACATAGGCCCTCAAGGAAAAATTTGAAGCATGAAATCTCCCCTTTGATATGAGAAGCAGTTTGAAATTTTCCATGAACCATTTAGAGAGTTATGGATGGTGCAAGATGTCAATATGAACCTAATTTTCCAACACTTAGTAGAATTTTCAAAAAATTGAAAAAGTAAACAAAAGTCAACCTTGTTGATTTTCTAAATTTTGCTGATTCTATTTGGACAAAATCAACCCATTGAGCATATTTAACTTATAAAACATGGTATTGACCTCAAAAAGTCAAGAGTTGGCTTTTAACTTGCACAATTGACTTTTCTCCTAAATTAATTGATTTGCAATTATCTAAATAATTGAACTTCTTCTGAATAAAACTGAGGGTCAATCTTCTAGACATGGATGCTTAGAAACGTGTAGAATGCCATGGAATTAAAATTTGCTCAAGGAATTAGAAATAAATTGATTTTACTACACATGTAGAATGACATTAGATGATTATAATGGAGTTAATGTGATTGAAGACTACTCATTATGGTCGCTCATTGTTCTTTTAAAGGATTGGATTCTTATGTACCCTGACTGGGGATAAAAGAGATGGATAATACTCTAATGTGCTATCTGATCAAGATTCAGATACAGATGTCAACTTTTTTGGGGAGGACCAAGTTAAATGACCTTTGGCCCGAGAAGAGAATCCTGTCGAGGAATTTCGATAATCGGAGAAATAACCTCTGTTTAAGAAATAAACCATATTGGGGAAATAAACCTTGTTGCGGAAATAATCCCTACTGGGGAAATAAACCCTGTTGGGGATTTTACAGTGTTGGAGAATAAACTCCACCAGAGAATTAAATTCCTGTAAACTGTATTGAAGATATATTCTCTGATGGGTATTGGAATTTCATAGGCTGTGCCGAGGAAGTTTCCAAACAAAATAACAATCAGAGTCACAAGGTCCCAAAGGTAATCAAGGTTTCTAATCCTAAGTCCGAGAGGTCCACAACTGCATGATGCCAAGGATAGTAACCAAATAGTCTAAGTAACCATAATGTTTTTATTGTTCAAGTTGGTTATTAAGTGTCTTCAAAAGAAAATGAAATCTCAAGTGAGCAAAACTGAAAAATGACATAAAGATAAATGCTCTTGTTAGAAAAGGTGAAAAATAACATGAAATGTAAATGCTAAAATAAACGGTGCGTAAAAGTAAAGGCATAAAATAAAAGCATAAAGTAAAAGCACAAAGTAAAAGTCAATTGTTAGTGAATTAGAATTTAGAGGTTAGTTGAATGACCATCTTGAAACATTCATTTGAAAACTCATTAGAATATTGATAAAATCAAAGCTTTTCAACAATAAGTTTCATTTTCTTTTTGTCAAGTATATCATTCATTTCAAGTTCTCAAGGTGACAACATATGATCAACGATGTTTAAATGATTCACTTAGACCAAAGTTTATGGTGGTTAATTAGAGGATTGATAAGACCAAAACCTCATAATAATGAAACTCAAAGTTATTAGATCAAAGGTTTCAAATTAAACATACTTGGGCTTGTAAACATAGGTTTGGGAAACGAATGATCATGTCTCGAATCGGGACAAATTTAGCGCTATGTTAAGCAATCCTAAGTGGACTTATATAGAAGTCACACTTATTTTGAGGTTGGTCAATAGCAATCTATGTACCATATTTTTTATCCATTAACATCATTCATCCATTTTGGTGAATTTGGTTTTTTAACCTATCAACACCCAAAATCCAATGAGGTTGAGGAACTTGTCCCAAAATAACATCCAAATCAGGACCAAACAAAAAAAATTTTAAAATAGTAATTAATAAACAATATTTAAATGGTTAATAAAAAGGAAATAATTGGTAAAATACACAACGTATATTAAAACACAAAAAAAAAATTTAGAAGTCAAGCATGAGTCAATAAATGTTGACCAAATTTTTAAGAATTTTTTAAAGTCAGATAATATTTTTAAAATTTAAAGAAATATGAAAAATAAACCAAAAATTATAAAAAATAGTAAAATCAGAAAATAAAAATAACATGAGGTCACCAATATTTGTCAAGAGGTCATTAGATCCTTCCATAATTTTTCCAGAATTTAAAAATCAAGAAAATCATTTTTAATAAATTAAAACAAGTTAAATAAAGTGAAAAATTATGAAAAATATCAAATCACAAAATAAAATTGTGAAAAATAAAAATCAGAAAGAGAAAAATCAAAAGTGTTTTTATGAATTTTTTTCAGAATATTAGAAGTTGAAATGAATTTTCTTATGAATTTTTAAAGTTTAAAACAATTAAAATATAAAATCAGAAAATAAAAATAAAACCAAAATGATGTAGACCATTTGATCAATGTCAAAACATGTTAGTAATCAAATCCAAGGGATCGGGCGCGTTGTGCATATCATGGACATTAGTGAAAAAACCACGATATCATTAATTAAAAACAGATTTGAAAAGAAACAAGTGGCGCATTGTCATTGGTTGAGAGATGACACATTGGTCATCTTTAACCTTCAGCCATGGGAATTCCAGGTCTCACAAACTGTAAAATCAGAAGCTCAGACCAGTGGCATTTGCTTTGTCTCTTCAAGATGATTTCAATGGTACGCTCGAGAAAAATTTATATAAACTACATCTCAGTCGATTTGAAGAAAACCAGAAGAAAAAAATTGAATAGGGATTTGAAAATCCATGATTGAAACTCACTTCCAATTAAAAATAAATGATGCAATGAGTATCAGAGTGATGAGAGCTTCATTGTAGTAACAAATGTTGAGAGAATTAATGAAGGAATCTACCTGTTGAAGTTCAAATTCAAAGCTTTGAAACTTGACTTGGCTAGGATGATTTAGGACACTTCAAAGATTGGTTCTACTTCTGATAGCCTCAGTGAAGTTCAAGGATGAAGAATCAGCAAAGAAATTGGATTGAAAAAAGTTGTAGAATCAAAATCGAAGTTACAAAATAATGAGTTATGGAGAGAGTTTGACAGAGTGATTTTGGCTGTCCAAGCTTGTGAAAATGAGTGAAATGGGGTATGTATTTACAAGAGAAGTGAATGAAATGCTGAGAGAGGGTGAATGATAAGTAATCAAGTGAAATCATGCACACCCTGATCATGACAAAAGTGTGATTTTCAAGTTATCAAAACTCAACAATTTCTTGTGTTTCAATCCTTAATCCTGCCTTAGCAACTTTGTTAAATATGTTTAAGTGGAAAACACACACAAAATTGGTGTTTAGAAGCAACATTATGAAAATTAAAATCTGATTGTTTTGACAAAATCAGTTTCAAGGTGCCAACTTAAAATCCATGGTGCACCCAACTCAAGGGGATTTATGATCTCATTCTTTTTGCAATGGAAAGATTTCACCACAAACTTCATAATATGTCGAGAAAGGTAGCATTTGGATGCTTGAGTAAAAAGTTATGATCAATTGAAATCGTGAAAAATACACTAACTTGTGGACTTAGAAATATTCCAAGTTTTGAGTTCAATTAACTCGACTCACAAAAGCAAGAGTCGCCACCGCGCTTTATTATTTCCAAGGGGAAAGGGAAAAGAGCGAAATAAAACCCTAAAACATGCAATGTAAAATAATACTTAAAAGTAATGAAAATACAATGCGTTTTTTGAAAGAGATCAAGAGTTCGGGGGTTAGTTATGCAATGGGAAGATATTAGCATCCAATGCATCTGCGGTACTCCGTAGGAACCTTTTGGAATATTTGTTTTTGGTTAAAATTGTTTGTTATATACAAGGGTGTATTTATCTACAACTATGTTTTCTTAAGGGGAAAGAAATGAGTTTTTATTATTGCGTTCGTGAGGGTTTCGCGACCCTTTGCCTACGTATCCAATGAAGGAATCA